GAATTTTTATATTGGTTCTTATTTCTTATTCTACAGATGTGCTCAGAAAACGGTTCAAAAATAAAAAAAATGAATTTTTTTTAATTTTCACTTCAAATCGTATATAATTTAGAAAATTCCATAAAACTTTATCACACTCACTTGAGGTTCCGATGGAAATAGTTGCCTAATTTTTGTGTCAACTTGTTCATAATCGTTTGCACTGGGGCTGTGTGTAAAAAAGAAAATAAATTTTATTTTCATGATTACTATTTTAATAATTAGATATACACAAATTAAAAATAATTTAGTTAATTATTAAACCTACTTCCTGTTCAGCTCTAACAATTTCTCACCAACAATGTGAATCAAAATTGAACGAGATTGTGAATTCAATAATTTATTTTGTTGATAAAATTGCAAGATGGTCCTTCCTTTACTAGAATTTTTTAATAAATCCTCAAGGTTCTAGAAACAAAAATATCTTTATAATATTAAAGTATTAAGTATTAAAGTATTTTTTTAAATGAAAAAAGTCCTTCTAAAAGGTTGTTTGCAGGAAGTTTTACAAAAATTTTTAAAAATCAAATCTTACAATTTGCAAAATTTCTTGACTCACAATCCATTTGCAAACGCGCTTAGATTTACTTTCTCTTGGTGTCTGTTTATCTCTTTTTCTACTGCAGCTGGGTTGTCCAATATTGTCAACAATTTCAGTTTTGTCACTACAGATAGAGTTTACAAGTTTTTCAATATTTTCAGTGTCTTGATTCCAGTTGAGTTCTGATTGTACAGTTTGTTCAATAATTTGAATATCTTTGCTACTATTGGACTGTAGAAGACTTTTAATAATTTGTTGGTTACCGCTGGGTGTTTTATGAAATAGAATATCCTGGCTGCATCCAGGTTGTACAATATAATTTTCATTTATTTCTCGCAATAGATCATCATTTAAAAGTGAAGGATCTGCGAAATCGTTTGGATTCTTGGTATTGGAAAATTCAGAGTGATCATTCTAGGAAAAGCACGCAATATTTATTTTATATATTTATTTTATTTTTCGTTTTTAGTAAACTTATATTTTAATTATTTTTTTTTAATTGATCGATGCTACATGACTTTTTCAAAGTAAATTTACTTACCTTTTAATTTGTTAGTCCAATTTCAGAAATAAAAAGATCAAAATAATCTTAAAACCTTCTTCTTAATAATCCTGAAAAAATCTATTATTAAACAGAAAGTTTTGAAGATTATTTTGACCTTTTTAATTTTATAATTGGATTGACAAATTAAAACATAAGTAAAATTGTTTAAATATTTTTTTATTTAAGAATTCATGGAAAACACCAAATATATTATTTTCGATTTTTCATTATAAATTTTTCAAAACTAAAACGAAGTTTTTTTTTCAAATAGAACGTGAGATATACCGAATTCAAAAAGTTTCCAACATTTTGAGATTTAATATTTTTGAGTTACATGAAAGTTTATTATTTACGCCGTTAACCTTTAAAACTCACATTAAATCGATCATTTATTAATATTATTTATTTATATTTACTTTAAATTTTTCATTTATGTTACCTCGGCTTTTTGAATTTCTTCTAAACGGGATAAAAGAATTGCCAAATCTCCAATAGGTTTAATTAATTCGTGCAGCAGGAAAGGGACTTTTTGAATTTGCTTCAACGTTTGAAGATTTAGAACCTTATTATCTATAAAACGTAATTTAGCAACAAGAAAGTTAATTTAAAGAGTCAACAAAAAGTTATAAAAATTCAATTACTTTCAAAACTGGAAACGTAATCTCCGAGTCCAATTTCAAATAATACGTTTTTCAGCTCGGTGTCCATTTTATTTTGAACTGTCACTTTGTGAATAAGTCTGAAGATGCGCACAACAAAACAAAATAAAACTTTAAAAATCTTTTTTACAGCATAAATTTGTTTAATTTTGAGAGGAATAATCTCAATTATAGAAAAAAAATCTTAAATGCAAATGAATAAATTCAATCAAAGAGAAAAGATTAAAAGTTATCCTTTAATATAAATATTCTCAAATAAAGAATAAAAATCCTCCTTTTTGTAGATGAATATTCGTATATTGAAAATAAAATGTAAAAGTAATTTATGAGAGGAATTTTATTCTCATTTGGAGATTTTATTTTTTTCGGTGTATGAATTTATTTTTTCCATATACAAAAAAAAATATTATGCAAATTTAAAAAAATATTTGTTTTTTTATTTTTCAAACAAAAATTATAATATTTTATTGTGAAGTTAATTCTCAATATATCATTTATTGTATTAAAAAAAATCTATTTCCAAAAAAAAATTTAAAAGATTAAATTCAAATATCTTTTTTTGTAAAACTTTTAATAAGAATTACGAACTTTCTAAATTAAATAAAAGTAAAAAGTAAATCTACCACAAACTCCAAACTACATATGAAACGATGGAAAAGAAAATTTAATTTTAAATATTAAACCAAAAAATTGCATTTTTTCGTTTTTTTTTTTTGGTTTTTCTGAAAACGAATTTATTAATATTCAAAATCACCAAAAACTTCAAGAGAAAATTTTATTATATGTATTTCTACACGATCAATAAATATATCAGTAAATAAAACTATTTTTGAACAATGAACAATAAAGATATTTATATTTTATATAAATTAACATTTGTCATTTTATTCAATATTCACAGTTGTCAAAATGATCTTTTCTCCGTGAAATTCAACTTTAAAATTCCAATTTCAAAATAAATAAGAAAAGAAAATTTTATAAATTAATTACTAAAAATATATTGTAATGAAATCAAAAATTATTCATTAAATTACTATGAAATATTAGATTTTACTAAAAATAATCGGCAACAACTTTAGATGAAATATAATAATGTATTGATCTCAAAGTTTTCTAAACTAAAACTTGACTATACAAAAAACAAAAAATAAATTCAAAGGTAAATTATTTTTTCAATTACTTAAATTAAATTTTTAATTTAAGTAAAACGTACATTATTTAAAAATAAAATCAAACAAAATGCTTCAATACAAAAAAGGTTCTTCATGAAAATTAAAAAAATATTTAAAATTGTTTAACAAAGAAAGGACAAAAAATTCTCTCAATTTTCAAAATAAATTATAAATTGTTAAAAAAAAGTCAATTATTATAAAAATTTAATTACTTTTAAATTTAACTATTCTGTAAATTCAAATGTTTTTGTATGTTTAATTATTTTTATAATTACACTACCGGCGGAAATTATGCGACATCCTCTTTTTTGTTATAATTGTATAAAATAATTTTAAATTAAAAATTATAAAAACTAAAATTATTTCCTTTTTAATTTCCTAAAAACTGATAACTATTATTTATTGTACATATGTGAAAAATATAGTATTATCAGGCATCAAAGTGACACATTTTTTTACTCTTTTTTTTCAAAAAATAATATTAAAAATGACAGAATTCAAGAATTTTTAATTTTAGCGAATTTTTTTATTCCTAAAAGCTCGTCCGCGTTTTTTACACGAATTTTCATTTTTCAAAATAGCATTTAACATAATTTTTTTCAAACCACCTTTTACTCAAAAGAATTTTTAATTTGTCAAATTTTTTTTGACAGATTTTTATTTTACAAAATTTCTATTTACTCAACCGTTTTTTTTTTAAATAATTCTAATTTATCCGAAATTCAGATAATAATTGAATTTTAAAGTATTTTGAATTGAAAAATGTTTTAAATAATTGAAATGCCAAGATCTTGATTAAAGTTATTAGAAATAATTATTTCAACAAAAAATTTGAATCAAAATTTTTAATAATAATTCAATTTCTGGAGAATTTGAATTAAAATTTTTGTAAATTAGAATTGCTGAAAATTATTAACAAAGTTTACAAATTATTAAAAAGTAATTGAATTTTAGAGAATTTTTAATTAAAAAATGTTTTATTTAATTGAATTTTTGAATAATTGGATTGAAATTATATTAATTTAGCAAAGAATTTTAGATATAAATTTTAAAATTAATTGAATTTTGTAAGAGTTCGAGTTAAGATTTTTATAAATAATTACATTTTTGGAGATTTTTAAATAAAATTGTTGTTTTAAAATACTAAATATTTTATATAAGCTTCCCATTCCAAAAGTTATAGGATTTAAAAATTCGAATTACTTAAAATTTTCCTGAATTAAAATTCTATTCTAATCTATTTTATTTTTCTTTATATCTCCGGAAATAATTAACGTTCTTAGGCTCATTTAAATGGTATCTTTCTATATAAAATTCAAATTATTAAAAGAGAATTTCTATACACGATCTCTCTTAAAATTTTCCGACTCGTGAAAGTTAGATTAAAAAAGTTCAAAAATTTAAAAGTCACATCTACGTCAAACAATAACGGTGTAAAAATCAAACGAATACATAATCTAAAGTTTTTCTCTTTGTTTCAAGTAATTTTAAGGTTTAAATATTTTGCTCAACTTTGCATCTAAATATTAAATAGAATTTTTTCCATTTTTTATTATTTAAAATTCAAGACTCGTAAAATTAAAAAAAAAACGTGTAATAATTAAAATTTTGAAAATATATCTTAATTTTATTTGTAAAATTTTGGAAATAAATTTTCTTTATAATATTCTTATAGAATAAAACGACTTTTCTTTGCAATTTAAAGTCGATCCGAGGCCTGCGACAACAATAAATCAAAAATCTAGAATAATTCATCACAAGTTTCAATTAAAACAAAAAAAATAATCGAAATATCATTAGGAAGAAAAGAAAATTTTTTAGAAATAATTCAATATTTAAGAAAAAAAAAAAAAAAAAAAATGAAGCTGCAAATTAAAAGTTTTTTTGAGTCACAAATAATGCACATTGTTCTCTTTAAATAAATTAATTAATTAATTTTCAAGATTGAATAATTTCAAAATGGGAAAATTGAAGAAAAAAAAAAAAAAAAAAAAAAAGATGAGAAAATGCAAGCAAAAAATATATAAATACAATGAATAACTCACTGTGATCATCAGCAGCACACAAAATATGTTCCTTAACATGTGGATCTTGTCTTGGTCTTGGACGATGTTTTATCCAAACGCCAATGGTGAATTTCTGAGCAAGCGCATGCTCCAAAACATCATTGGGCACAATAGCAGCTGAATTGGCACCGTCAAATTCAAAAATCTCATCAGCCTCACGTCCCTCGTCCCTCGAAAGCAACGACGTCCAAGATGTCGATGGTCCAGGTGTTGGCAATAGATCGACACTGTCCCTTGAGGCGCCGCACAATTTACGTTGACTCTGAACACTGTATGTGTCACGATCGCAACCCTTTCCAATGTGATCGGTAGCCAAACTCAATGTGGTACGTAAACTTCTCAATGTGCATGGAGCATCGCAAAGTTCCAATCTTGCCGATGGTAAAAGAGGCTGTGAACCAACGCCAGCGGCATAATCAACTCTTTCGGGTACACCACGCCATCCAGGTGAACAAACTCGATTTACTTTTACGGTGACCATTGCCGGTGCCGATTGTTTCATTCCACAATCATAAGCGACAACACTCAATATATAATTGTGTGATCGTTCATAATCCAATGGTTCGGTATTTCTAATTGCCCCCTCATTGTCAATTGTGAATGGTTGATCGTCAGTGAGAATTTCATATTTGCAAACATCGCCATATTTTGGTGTACAATCACGATCGGATGCCTCAACACGAACAACTTCCTCATAAAGACGTCCCTCATCAACTGTACTGACGTAGGCCGGTTGCAAAAATTGTGGAGCATATTCGTTCACATCGACGACTGTTATATGCACAGCGGCGCTAAAATTTGTGAAAAAAATTTTTTAATTATTTAAAATAATTAACAATAATTATTATTCTTTTTTTCTTCTATATTCTAATTTATAGTTTTTATAGATAAAAATTTTAGATATAAATTTAAATAATGATAAAGTTTTTACAACTTTGTCGTACGCAACGATTTTATTTTTTTTAAAACAGTAATTCTGATGACAATTTGTCAAAATTTATGCAGCAAAAATTTGTTTGAAAAAATAATAATTAGGACTTGAATTAAAAAAAAAAACCCACTTATATGTATTAATTAAAAATAAACAATTGTTCAAGACTTGAATAAAAATAAATTCTCACAACAATTTTCAAAATCTTTAATAATAAATTATTCAAAATAATTCAAATTTAAATTCAAATAACGTTTTTTTCAACCCAGAAATATTCAATAATTATTATTTTTCAAAAAAAACAAAAAAAAAAAAAAAAACACTAAATTGTCCTAGTCAAACGACGCTGAAGTCCACGTCAACGTTTATGATCAACGATTAGAAAACAAATTATTTTTTCAAACGGAAAAATATAAAATTTTTTATCTAGAAAAATATTTTTTTTATAACTTTTTTATCAATAACAAGAAATATCTTTGTGCCAAAAATTCATATAATTTTTCATTCGAATAAATAATATTTTTTTTTTTTTTTTTAAATCGTTGATCATTTTGTAAACTTCAGCACCGTCTAGTCAAGTACAAAAAGTAACAATTATAAATTTTTTGAAAAATTATTTAATTTTAAAATTCAAATATACATTTTTTTTTATCAAGATATATTCAAAAATTAAATTATTTACAAGAAATAAATTTTCTGCTGCATTATGCTGATCGAGTGTAAAAAGAAATAATTTATAACATTTAGGAAAAATTAAAATTTTTTACAAAATAATTCGATTTAAAAATTCTAAAATAGGTTTTTTTTTAATACTCAGAAATATTAGCTAAAATTCATATTTTTCATAAACAAATTTTTCTGCTGAATTGTATTAGTTCTGCACAAAAAAAATAATATTTACGAAAAATTAAATTTTTTTTTTTAATTTCTGTTTTAAAATTCAAAAAAGTCTTTTTTCGAGAAATTTCAAAAAAAAAAATTCAAGAAAAAAAATTTAAATACGAATATTATTTTAAAGAAAAATATTTCTACACCAATTTTATCATTTATCAGTACAAAATCAAGAAATTTATACTTTTGATAAATCTTAGTATCAAATATTATAAATGTTAAATTTCCAACTACTTTTTTTTTGTATTAAATCATTGCATGCAAATATTTTTGTTAAAACAAATATTTTATATTTTTTAAAAGCAAATCATTGCTATTTTGTTCCATATTTTATAATATCTCCATTTTTCGAGGTAACGAATCGAGAATAGATGTTGTCAGTTTCTTTTAGTTGATGCACACCATTATTTAATGGTTCGAACAATAGGAAACAACCGAAATTAAAATATATTGAAAGAAACATATTTTAAATCATAAATTTGTTTAAATAATAAACATTATTACAATTAGTACAATTTATCTCAGAGAACAAAAAAAAAATCAAAGTCAACTATTGTCGTAAATCATTGACAACACAGTGTTGAAGAAATAATAGTAATTTTTATAAAAATTATAAAAAATATTTATTAAATAAATTTGATATATAAAGATCGTGAAATATTATTTTCAATATGAGCAAAAAGTTTTGAACGTTCAAATGAACAAAATATTTTTTTCATTCTATAAATTATTAAAAATTATAATGTCAATGTACAATAAAATAGTAAATTAAATTAATATTTTCTTTTTAGATATTTAAAACAATATTTTATAATGAAATTCGTTCAAAACTTTTGACTTTTTTTCAATAAAAAATTTTCATTTATTCAAACTCGTATTGTAAATTTCTATTTAACCGCGAACATCTATATTAGCAAATTCTCTACTTCATCGAATTTTCCTTCAATATAGAATTTGCATTCCAAAAGAAATTTTAATTTAACTGAATATAAAATTATATAATGAAAATATTTGTTAAAAAAAAAAATAGAAAATTTTTATATAAAAAAATATTTCAAACTTTCAATTTTAAAATTTGTGATGAAATTTTGTTTGGATAATTGAAAATTTCAAACAAAAAATAATTTCTCGTTCAAAAGAATTTTATATGAAATTGTCAATTGTGAGTAGAATAATGCCAATTTATTTATTTAGTCAACTTAAAAAAAAATTATACATATATAATCTAAAATGGCATGTTTTTCAAATCTTAACTCGAATATGGCACGTTTCTTCATATTCATCTGAATTGGCGTCATTCTGCTCTCAATCGACAAAAGATTGATAATAAAAGTTCCAACGAATGGAGATTCGGTGTAAAATGCAAATTCTACAATTTAAAAAGAAATCCAACTAAATAGAAAATTTTAATGAAAATGCTAATAATGAAAATTCGGTTAAATAAAAATTCTATCAAATATAAAAAGTCGGTTAGAGAAAAAATCAGTAGACTAAAGAATTTGTCGTGAGAAAATTCAGTTAAGTTTTAATTAAGTACGGTTTTTATTTTTTGAAAACATATCTTTGGTAAAGTAATAGTCTAAAGAAAAGGAAAATGGATATTATTGAGAGACAATTTTGATAGATATATAAAGTAATATAACAAATATATATATATATATATATATATATATTGATTATAAAGTTTCCAATAAAGGCTCCTGACAATTGTTTGTCTTGTACAAGTTTTCTGAGTTCTATTTATGAAGCATTAACTGAATGTACTATTGAATTCACCATACGCGTCTTTTGTTAAAAAATGAGGGACATTCATCATTATTTTACTGTGTTCCATTCGTTCAAAGCTTAAAGAAATCGATATTTTCATTATATCAACGTTATTTCAAGTTTTAACCTGGATTTACTGGTTTAATTATAAAAAAGTTTTATACATTTTTCAAAATATACTTTTTTCTTGAAATCAACTAAATCCCCATTTAATTGAAAATTAATCGCTCACAGACCGATTGAATCGATAAATTCTTTTGAAATTAAATATTTTGTTGATACAATATATATATATATATTTTTTTTAATAAAAGCAAATGTAAACAAATAAAAAACAAATATTTAAATAAATATTCAAAACAAATTAAATTTAATATTTACAAATATTATCAAATGCAAATATTAAATTATTATTATTATTATTTTTTTTTTTTGAAAATAAAATTGTTAAATTTTTAATTTGAAAAGGCATTTTGTATTTTTTTAAGGCTCGTAATTAATTCTATATAAATTAGTTAAATGGTTTTATATACCTTTCTGATTGGGCACCATTACAAGCGACAGCAGCAATATCAAATTTGTAGTTGCGTCTTTTTTCACAATTCAAAACTCGAAGTGCCTTAAGCTTTGCAACGCCGTTTTCTTTCAGTAAAATTTCAAAAGGCGCTTCACCATGATGTTTGTTGGCAATATGAAAAGAGCAAATCTTGGCTCCCAAAGCGCGAATCTGCGGTGTCACCTCAACCAGAGATTCATTTTCTTTCACCAATCCATGATATCCGCTTTCAAGACTCTCTAAATCTAACCGGGGCACTAAAAAAAAAGAGAGAAAATAAAAAATAAAACATTATTATATGAATCAAAAAAAAAAAAAAAAAAAACAAAAATTTAATTTCCAATCACCAGACAACTAATCATATAATTATTTCGCGCACAGCCCGTTTATAATTTCTAAATAAATAAATAAATAATAAAAATTAGAATTCCATATTTTCAAATTTTTTGAAAAATAATAAATATTTAGTCTTAAAAAAAATGTAAAATAATTATTTACTTTTCTTGGATTTTAATAAAAATACATATTGGTCAAGTTTACTTCGTAAATGATTTAGAGGAAAAAATATTTTTTTTTTAAATTACTATACAGCAACGAAAAATAAAAAAGTATATTAAACATTTAATAAATTATTAATGTAGGTATTTTTGAATACAGAAAGCAATATTTTATAATAAAATTTGAAAGTAAAAAAAAGTATTAAATAAATGTTTTGTTCATTTGAACGTTCAAAATTTCCGGCACATATTTTTTTTGCATGAAAAATATTTTTATTTTTCTATTTCAATCATTGGCAATAAATGTTATGAAGTTCACCGGTGTGTAATAAAATTCACAATTTTTTTTTTTTTTTTTTATAAATAAGAAACGATTTAGGCAACAAATGAAATAAAAAATAAGAAAAATTTCATCTTTGTGCCAATTCAACTTTTGATGTTTTAAAATGAGCCAAAAGATTTGAACCGTTCAAATGAACAAAATTTTTTTTTCAACTTCTTTAAGTACGAATTTTATTACAAAATATTGTTTTAAATATCTAAAAAGAAGTTATTAATTTAATATTTGTTAAATTTACTGTTTTATTTTACATTGACATGATAATTTTTTTTAATAATTTATAGATTGAAAAAATATTTTGTTCATTTGAACGTTCAGAAATATTGGCTCATGTTTTGAAAATAAAATTTCTCTCATTTAAAAAAAAAAAAACTGTTGAATTAAAAATTATTTTCTTTTTTTTTCATTCAAAAATACGAAAATGTGAAATTTAATTTTTGATTTGACTCTTAATTTTCCCTTAAATGAAAAATAATAATTTCTATGACAAAATTTTCAATTTCCAATAAAACTTATAATTTTACAATCAATTTTATAAAAGAAGAAGAATATAATTTATTCACATAGAATTTAATTATATCCCATTAGTAACTGCGGTTTAATTTAGCTTATTCAATTAATTAATTAATAATAATTAATAATAATTAATAATTATAATTATATAATATTTAATAACTATAATTATGTAATATAATAATAAATGTAGATTTATAATTTCGGCATTATTATAAAAGAATATTTCATACAAGTAGGTCTTAAAAATCTCTTTTTGAAAAGGAAATTGCAAATAATCACTTTGTATAGCGAATTACGTGCCCTAAATATATTGCACACAGCAGTTTATGAGTTGTGAAGAGAGATAGAGAGAGAAAGTGGACAAGGTATTTTCCATGCCAAATTAAAAATAAACTTGGTACCTTATTCTCTTTGAAACACAAAAAAAAAAAAAAAAAAAAAAAAATTAACAATATTCTATTTTCTTAAATGTATAAATTATTCTATTCTGATTAATTTCCTGTTATTAACGTAAGTTAACTAAATTTGACTTGTAAATAATTTAAACTCGTTGAAACTTTGCTATATGTAATTAGAGAGACATAAGAGCTTTAATAAACACTTAGTAAGAAAAATGTAATTAAGAAAGTTCTTTACAAAAACTAATTTAAAAATTTTTTTTTTAAAAATTAATAACAATAATAAATAAAATAACATAAAATTTTTTGCAGATGAAAATAATCTTTAATAACATAAAAAAATATGAATTTACATTTACTTGAATTTTATTTATTTTTTTTTTTCGTTTTACTAAAAAAGTTTGATTAAAGCTGCCTTCTATATATACTTTATAGAACCCTTCAAGAAATAACTCATCAAAGTATTCACTAGGCTTCGAAATTCTCCAGTTACTTTTAATTATTCATCAAGCATTGAACGGAAGTAATGAGATACATACTATTTTTAAAAACAAAAATATAATAACAATTTATAAATACATAAAAAATTAATTATCCATTTAGTTATTTAGTTATTAAAGAAAATTATTATTTATTTATTAAAATTTTTAAATTACTATTTAATAAAAAATAATCCATCAATTGACCCAATTTATTGTTACTAACGTTTGACTGTAAAAAAAAAAATATATTGAAAAGTATTTATTCCATTTTATTGAAGAGGTATTTTGTAAAATAAAATAAAAAATAAAATAAAACCTTTAAAAGACAGATTTCAAATAAAAGAGCGCTTTATCAATTGCATTCTTGTTCAAAAAATATTTTTACGTTTGACAAGTAAACAATGAAAATCAATACTTGAGAGAGTAAATAATTGAAGGTTTAAAAGAATAGAAATATGAAAAGAATTAAAATAAACAATCAGGGAAAGTAATAATCTTTAATGTATAATCTATATTTTAGATTAATTGCATTGATTAAATTTCTTTTTTTTTAAATATTAATTGAATTACGATTAAAATCAATTTTTATTATCAAATGCCAATATAAAGGAATTATCTCTTTTTCTTATTTATCAACTCTATATTCACTATAATCTAAAGCGATTCATTTTTTTTTTAATGTCCTTAGCGGGATAATGTATATTTTAATCATATAGCTCGACGAGAGAGATATATTTTTTTTTTATTCAAATAGAATTCTAAAGCAGTGCATGTTTACCCTTTCACTTTTGTATTAAACAAATCGCTTTTATTTTCTTCTATTATAAACTATGAACAATTATAAAATCACTTATTCTTTAAATTTTTATTTTATTATATAATTTATTGTTTCGAGAAATTTTTTGTCAACTATTATTGTCTTAACTAAAAAAAAACAATTTTCTTTTCTCAAAATAAATGTTGAAAAATTTGAAAAAAAATAAATAGAGAAAGTATTATGACAAAAAAAAAAAAACATTCGAAATATAGCATTATATTAAATTATGCGTTTTAAAAATGATTCAAAATATTACGCTTCTCCAAAATCAATATTCTATTCCCTTTCATGTATTCCGATGTCTTCGTTTCAAAGTACAGAATGTCCCCCAACGAAAAAAAAGAGTCCAAACTTTTTTTTTTTGTCAACTTTTATATTACGATAAAAACATAATTCAATCAGAAAATAATTTCCATCTCTCAAGAGATGAAAAAATCGCCATAAACGTTCCAAGCACTGCAGGTGCTTATGGACTTGTTAGATGATGATTCAATTTATTATACTATATACATTGGAAAAATATTTTCATCTTTTTTTTTTTTCAATAAAGTAAATTACTAACGAGAAAAAAAATGAAAGAAACAAGTCTTTTAGGAAATTTCAAAGTAAAGTGAAATTCTCTTTTATCCCAAAAAAAAAGCGTTCGAAAAAAACATTAAACAGGTAAAATGAGGACAAGAAAATAAATGAAGTCACCTCCATGATCCTTGATGGTGGTCGGTGTAGGTTCTTCGAGACTCGCATGTGAGAGGCCAAAAGTCAGACACAATAAAATCACTGTTCCCGTTAGCCACGACATTTTCTTTTATATGGAACAAGCGTCCCGTCGCCTTCACACTTTATTTCTCCTTTTTAGTCAATGATTTTTTTAGTCTTAAACAACACGTTGAAAGAGCAAAATAATTATTCACACTGCATCGCAGACGTTTTCGTTTGCGACCACCGCACTGTCACACGCACGCGGAAGAACAGCTACACACACACACAATAATATACACACATATATAGACGGTTCGAGTCAATATTTGAGTAGAATATCGATTTCGCAAAAAATAGTATCTATTTCATGACACGCGCGTCGCTAGTGTCACTTCCTACGCGCCAAATTTAAAATTGATAATCAAATTTTATTAAATATTTAATAAATTTTATAGGTAAAATAAAAATTAATTTTCTTTTCTATATCAATTATTACAAATATTTTTTATTTTAATTTTTCAGAAAACATTTGTTTTTCGATTAATTTAAAATTTAATTTAAATAAAAAAATTAAATAAGAAATTTAGTATTTTTTTGTATTTAAATAAATTTTTAAATCACATATATCTATTTATGAATGAATAATGAAATTTTTTTTCAACAATATTTGAAAGCAGAAAAAAAAAATTTTAACGAAACTTTGGAAAAATTCCAATATTGATTTTATTTTTAACTTCTTGTGTAATATTAGTTTTCTTAATTCCAAGTATCTTGTACTATAAATTTATTATTATTTTTTTTTATCAAAATTTAAAAATAGAATACCGTTTGATTAATATAACAGGCTTTGTAAAAATTTTTTAAAAATTTTTTTCTAGAAATAAAATTTAAGGATAGAACATTTTTTAAAAATTCAAAATTGAAAATAAAAAATATAATTTATTTTAAAAATTCAATTAAAAATTTTGTCAATTAAATAAAAATTTAATTTTGTTAATTTCAATTGTTTATTATTTTATTAATTAAATTAATTGTTTATATACTATTTAATATTAGTTATTTATTTATAAAAATACACGGGCTAAGAGTTATTTATATTTTAATTATATTTCTATAGGTATTAATTAAATAATTTAATAAAAAATTAAGTTTAAAAATAACTTATTAGACAAAAGATAGTAAAAAAGAAACAATTTTTTTTAAAATTAAATTAAATTCTCTACTTTTTGGACAAAAATAAAAAATACAATCTACTCTAAAATTTAAATTTATACAATTGAATAAAAAAATTAATGATTTAAAAATTAAATTTAAAAAAGTTTAAGAATGGATAGGAACAATAGTTAGTACAACTTATTTATTACGACTCTCTAAATAATATTAAAAAAAAAAAAAATAATTTATATCTTGAAAGTATTTCAGTAAAAGTGTAAAAAATTTAACTTTCAACATTTTGAACCAATAAAAATTGGATTTTAATAAAAATTACAATTTTTTGTCCACAAAAAATGATTTAAATTATTTAAATTAAAAAATAAGTTTACAAAAATTTAAACATAATGAAAAATGTACATAAACAATTTCATAAAACGATATAATTATCTTTTATTAAAAAGCAAACTTGCACATTCGTTTAGATATGTATATATATGTATATAAGATTTTTTAGGACGGAATACATATATCTATATATATTTTAGGGATAAATATTAACACAAGCAGTTATCGTCTCAAAAAATAAAAAAAAAAAAAAAAACCTTAATTTCTAAAGAAAGATCTTCGGAGAATACTATTATTATATAACGTTCATTTTAAGTACAAATAAAGAAGAAGAAGCTTTATAACTAGATTATTATTATTATTTCATTCAAGATTTTCTTTTAACGGAAGCTCAGGTCTTCTAGGTGATGATGTGTATATTTTACTATATTCTATAAAAAGCTATTATGAACATTTCATATATATATATATAAAGACAAAGTCAATATATAAGGTGTAAAAAGCATAAACAACACACGAAAAGCATTCTTTTCAAATATTGAGCTTACTTGATAAGTACAAAAGCACAATGGATATGTTATTTTCATCTAGTACATACAAAATCGACAACGCAATTTTTCTGTCACGTTCTTAATAAAATCGCATATAAATAAATAAGAAACAATTTTCAATGTACCGAAAAAAAAAAATTCTACAACTTTTTTTTTTCAAGTTCAATTGCGATAAATGAACCTCAATGAATTCATTTTAAAACTGAAATTTAGAATTCATAATAAAAAAAATTATTACAATTAAGTGTAATAATATAAGTACGAGGCATTAAGGCATTTTCGGTGATTAAAAATAATTGATTTCTTGTTCTAATTGTTATGTAATAAATATGATTTCTCTCTTTTTTTTTTGTCACATATTTATAATATATAAAATTAAAATAACTAGGTAACCAATATATAACATTTTTAGTACACTTTAACCTTGTACTTTTCTTTCTTTTCATTTTTTTTTTTTTTTTAATCGTAAAACATATATTAGGCTTTGGAATTATACATAATTAATGTAAAGTATTATAATAATAATATAATATGACGTTTTCAATCTGCATTGTCATTGTATATAAATTTTATCTCTTTTGTAGCATTTAAAATACTATCAAATATGACGAGATGTTACGTACAATCGTTGCAAGTTTTTTTTTTACATATATAAATTGTATATATATATATATATAATATATGTATTGTTAATATTATGGCATTGTTTTTTAATTTTCATTCGTACTGGTTATTTATCATATTATAAATTTATAATATAATAATTGTTTTGATCATTTTCAACTCATATATAATAATACTGCACAAGTTTTCAAATGTTTCAAAAAAGTTCTGGGAAATTTATAAAATATAAAAGAAAATTTCTATGAGTTAATTAATTATTAAATAAATTAGGACTTACGTTTATAATTTTAAATATAAAATGGTAGAAAATTTTTTTTTTTTTACAAACTTTAATTCATTCGCTTTTAAAGGAAAGTAAAATATTTTTAAAAAAAATTAACTTTTGAGATTTTATTTTGGGTCGAAATAAAAATTAATTTTTCGATAATATTATTCGAAGATCTTTTGTGTTTATGAACGTGAAAACAATATTTTAAAATTCAATTTAGATTTTAAGGATAATATTTTCGTACAACGAAATTCTATTTATATATATATTTTTTTTTCAGTTATTGTAAAATTAGATATTGTTAAAAAAAACATTTCCAAATTATGTTAAAAATTGTAAACACATTTTTGCAGCTTTAAAATCATTTATGTACAAATAAAAACAAAAAAAAAAAAAAAAAAATTTCGGTTATTGTAAAATTAAATATTGTAAAAAAGATATTTTCGTTGAAAATTGTAAACAGATTTTTTTAATTTAAAAATTTTTTAACTTTAAAATCATTTCAGAAAAAATGTAAACAATTTTTAATCATTAATTTTTAAAATCATTTCATTTTTAATAAAAATTACAATTTTTTGACAATGGAAAATAATGAATACTTTGAAAAAAAAAAAATAATTTAAAATCTACTTTTTATGAAAATTTCTGCCTAATTCCTAACACATGGCAATTATTATTCGACAAAATACTTCTGTCATTAAAGAAAAGCGAATTTTAAAAATTGTTTTCAATTTCATAAAGATCAAAAGCCATCTTCGAAACGTATTATTTAAATTAAAAAAAGATCTACAATATGCAAAATCTAATTATCAATTGAAATAGAAATAAAAAATAGAAAATAATAATTTATTTTTTTAATATTGCTCTTTGTTATACGAAATAAAAAGTCCTTTCCTTCTATATAAAAAAAAAAAATGCAGAGACATTCATTATTATGGACAGTTAAAATTCTAATTTTTTTTTTTTTTTTTTTGGAATGACTTAAACAGTCTGTAGAATCGTGTTTTAAAAATAAGTCGATGTTTCCTAAGGCACACGCATTAAAGTCTTATAAGTGGACAGTACGATAGTCTTGAAGCAGTTGAAAAAGATTCAAAGTGAGCATATATATTATATTGCCTCGTAAAGTATCCACCATTATAATCTCATGATCACAGATTTACACACTTTTTGTCTTTAATTCTTTTCTTTTTAATTATAAATGTATTTAAATTGTAAATAGTTTTTGTATCAAAAAGGAGCTTCTACGAAAATTATCAATTATCTTAAAAAAAAAAAAAAATTCTCTCATAAGTTTGATAAATTAAAAAACACAGTGTGTTTTTTTTTCTTTTGTTCCTATTATCCTTATACTTCAATATCTAATTGAAGTATTATTAAATGCAAATACGTTTAAGTACCATTTTTTTCTTTTTAAATGCAAAAAAGCGCATGACGAAATAACTCACAAATATTCTCTATAAAGTATAATAATAATAATAATAATTGTAATCTAATTACAATTGTGTTGTAATTACTGTTTTCCTTGTGATTACAGTGTGCTTTGTTGGACTTTGGGAAGTTGGCGATTGCGATGGATCCGCAACTAACCAGGGACTAATGTCCTGTGCTGAATTTTCATCCTGTGAAAATAGAATTTAATATATATATATATATTTATAAAATTTCTATTATTTTTTTTTCGACAAAAAGAAACACAATATTCCTCGAATTCTGAACATTCAAAATATTTTCTTCTCTTAATTAAAGAAAAAAAAAAACTAATTTTCACATCGAAAAAAAGATTCTTATTTTGAAATGCGAAGAATTTTAGGAATAATTATCATGCTTCTTATGAGAATTAGAACAACACATAAACATTTAGTGTATTTTTCACATTAATTATTTTCTAACGATGTAATTAAAATTGCAATAGCATATTCAACTCGCAAGCAACTTTTTTTTTTCTTTTCTTTCTTTCTTTTTTTTTTTTTTTTTTGGCAATTATTTTTTACTAACCTTATGCGTAAGTGTAGTTGTTGTTGTTTGAATTTCTTCTGTTTTAACAACTCTTGCATTACCTAATTCAGCGTCATTATTTTCAATATCAGCCGTTTGTTCAACGGGACTGCTGCCAGTGTTGTTCGATTCTTTTTGCGTTTGTGTAAAACCAACAACATCATTAAATGGATTGAGTAGTCCCAAAAATGGATTTGAATCAATAAATGGATTTGTATTTGTTTTCACTTCATCGATTTGTTTTTCTTTATTTTGCTCATGATTATTTAATTCTTCAACACCATCGGGTACTTCAATATTTGTATTATTAATAAATGGATTTGTAAATGGATTTTGGGCATGATTCACCACTTTTGGACTATAGGGCGTTGTTTTTTGTTCTATTTTACCCCAACTATCGAGGGAAAAATGTGTTACCGTTACGGTATCATCAATTGATGGAGTTGGTGTTGTTCCACTCACTGATAATGTCAATTTGTCACCACCCTGTGTCATGAAAAAAACAAAAGAGCAGAAAAGCACCAAAAATTAAAAGCAAGCCTAGCAAAAATTATTAAAGAAGCGAAAAAAAAAAGAATAGTTATTTTAAAAGCAAACTACGCACAAAAGAAAAATTACGTTTACGAAATATGGACAATAAACTATATGGCAAATAGACATTTTTTTTAAAAAAAAAGAAAAAACAAAAATTTTTCTCATCCCGAAAAAGAAAAATCGAGAGATCGACGATTCTAAATTCTGTTTTTAAATATTTAATAATAAAACAGTTTTTATTTCAGGAATTAATTTTCAATTTCCCTAACATTTTCTTGACATTTAAAAATTTGTCACTGACAATTTTTTTTTTTTTTTTTTTTTTTATTAAATTTAACGAATTTTAATAGAAATATTATAATTTAAAGTTAGAAAGACGTATTTTTCTACTAAAATTGAATTGATTGAATAAATTGAAATTTACATCAATCAAAATTTTTATAAATTGAAATTCTAATAATTTTAAACTTATATCAATTAAAATTGAGATAATATGTTAAAATTAAAATTCAGATAATTTAAAACTTGAGTCAATTAAAATTTGAACAAATTGAAATTCGAATAATTTGAAACATAAACCAATTAAAATTTGGACAAATTAAAATTCGGATAATTTGAAACTAAAATCAATTAAATTTTTTTTTTTAACTTAAAATTAAAATCACCTAAAATTTAGACAAATAGTAATTATTTAATTTTAAATGTCGACTGAATGAATTTGCATCTAATTAAAATTTTAATTAATAGAATGTCACCAATAAAAATGAGAATTTATTAAAAGTTGAATCACTTGAAATTTAGATTAAATTGAAGTTTGTATGTATTAAAATTAGAATCGAATAAAATTTAATTAAATTAAAATTTGTATATAAATTTGAATTTTTTTATTAATTCAATTGATTAGAATTAGAATGAATTTAAATTTAGATCAATTACATATAATTAATAAATTGTCCTAAATAATTTTAAAACTTTTAAACTAATAAATTATTTTACAACATTTTTGAGTTTAAATCAATGTTTTCACATTGCAAATTTCAAGTCTCGGATTGAAAAAAAAAGTCGAAAAAGTCGTTTAATCAGAGTCCTGAAATTTAATTATTTTTTAAAAATTTAAATTTTTTTTTTAATTTCCCAAATTTCCATATAAAAAAAAAAAAAAAAAATTTCCTCGACTTTTCTCTAATTTATGGCTACCCTATAATTAAATACAATGACTACGAAAATATTCTCACAAAATTAGAGTGTTCGATCTCTCAGAAAATTTAATAGATTATTTTGAAGAAAAAATAAAAAGAAAAATGACTGAATACAATTTCATTACAAACACAATGGATAAAAATGGTAATTGAAAATAAGAAATAAATGTAAATTTTACCACAGCAACGATAGTAGCAGCATCAGTGGGTTGAATTTTCTCAGGCGTTGCTAATGTTTCAGCGGCCGATATTGAAACTAAATTTGAATTTTTCCCCAATTCTAATGATTTTGCCTTAAGTATATTGCACTTGAGTGACTCGAGTGGAATTGGTGTACGAGGCGGTAATGCGGAAGCACCACACACTTGATTGTTTGGCACAATTGATGTTTGTTGATTATTTATATTTTCAATAGTTAAATTTGTTTTCATTGATTCAGTCTCTTTCTGTGTTGTTGCAATTGTTGATTGATTTCTTGCCTCTAATGGTTGTTGTTCCTTTGCCAATGATTTTAATAGTGAATCCACTAAAGGCGATGATGTTCCTTGAATACTTGAATTCGATGATTTTGTACTACTTCTACTCGATTGACGTTGAATACTTTCCTCTTCTGATCCACCTGAAATTATTTTAATATTTATTATTACAATGAAAAAGAAAAAACTAAATGAAAAATTTGTATATGTACTCTAAACCCAGAAACTAATATAAAAGGAGATGAAAAATATAAAATACCTGTGGATATCGGTTGTTGTTGTTGTTGTTGTTGCTGCTGCTGTTGTGGAGGTGTTTGTTGTTGTTGCTGTTGTGATGATTGAATTGAATCACCCTGCTGTCTTTGACGCTCACGTAAAACATGACTCTGTCTTCTTGCGTAACGTTGACTTGGTCGACGTTCAAATTGCACTGTACGACGTGCACGATTCAATTGTGTTGTTTGAAATTCCGTTTTTCCACTATAACGAAAACGTGAACCCATACGAAAGAAATTTTGTCGGCCATTTGCCCCTTTAACGGGTGCACGAAGTCTAAAGAATGCATGATGTTCAACGGCACATTTCCACAAATGTTTACATGATTTTTCATTTGCTAAACGAAAGACAAATGTATGTTCCTGTTCACCGCGACCCTCATCATCTTCTTCAACAACAACGAGTGTAAGTTTTTTCTTTTTAAAATCTAATCGTCCAATTTTTGGCCAAAAGAATAATCCAATTTTTTGATTTCCCTCAAATACCAAAATACCAGTTGGCGTTAAACCAAGTGAATATTCACAAGCGTCCTTCCCTAATACTATATGCATATCCACTCCATACATATCTAACCATTTTGCTTTACTCAAATAAGTTGATTCAGCTTGAGCTGGACTTAGACCCTTATATTTTCCATATTCTTCTAAAATTTCTAATTCCATTTGTTCCGTTTGACCGGGGACAAAACGAAATTCAGAAACAGTCACTGCACTATGCATTGTAGGATCGTAATCACCTAATTCGGCTGTGAAAGAAAAAAATAAAATATTTTCAATTCAATATAACAATTATTATTACGATTATTAATTGTTAAAATATATTATTTTTAAAAAACATACATTGAAGAGATAAAGCTGCCAATTGTACAGCAATTTGATGAGGGCAATGAAGTTTACCATCCAAAACATCGTGTTTTAATTGAAGAAAAAATTGATAACGAGTTAATTCCTCTCTAAGTGTATTAGGCTCCGATGAGTAGAATTTAACTTTTAATCGTAAAGTGTATGGTGGGCCAACTGGAATATTAGAATGTTATTATTAACAAAAAATGGAACATATAATTGCAAAAAAAAATTCTTAAATAGAATCTAATTTATAATTACAAAATGTTTCAATGAAAGAAAATTTAATTTTTGCCACTTTAAACCATTAAAATTTAACTACAGTTTCCACAAGATTACAATTTTTAATTCCCCTGACGATATTTCTTTTTTTAGTAAATCTAATTCAAATCTAATAATTTAAAATTAAAAAAAGTGTTTTCCCATTGTAATTCATTAATTTCACTATTAAAATTATTACTAATTAAAATTTTTCATTGATAATTGTAGCATTAATACAAATTATTACTAATTATAATTTTTCATTAATGATTGAAGTATTAATAGATCAAAATTTTGATAAATTAAATTTTAGATAAATATTTGCCTGAAGGTCTGAACGTTCAAATGAACAAAATCATTTTTTTGGTCTATAAATTTTTTTAAAGTTATTACTGCATCAAAAATAATAAATTTATTTTTGAATACAGAAACAGGGTGTCCAGCGATTATCGAAAAAAAAAAAAAAAAAATAATTAAGAACTTTTCAAAGTTTTTCCAGGTCCAAAAACATTTTTTTCTTGAGCCAAAAGTTTTGAACGTTCAAATGAATGAAATATTTTTTTAATCTATAAATTATTAAAAATTATGATGTCAATGTAAAATCAAACAGTAAGATTCACTTTCAGCGTAGAAACTAGGAAAATGTTTTTTTTAATTGTGACGATAAATCAATTATAAATAATAATCATATATGATATATGTGCGAAAATTTCTTAAGAATTATTAAACAAAAAAGTTGAGAAACAAAAATTGGCTAAAGAAAATAGTAAAAATTGTGAAAAAATATAATTTTGAAAAAATTTTGGATTATAAATTTTAAATTGATAAAAAAAATGAATATTTCCTCTTGCTAATAAAAAAATTTCTGCAATTATTCAAATTTAAAGAACTCCAAATAAAAATAGTGCCTTCCCTTAAAAAATAAATATCATTATTTTAGAAAAGTTTAATAATATTCCAAGTTTTGTTATAAAATTCAAGGACTTTTCAGGGATTTCAAGGTCCACTGAATATATTATTGTTTACTGCAAACAATATTTGATAATAAAATTTGAATTTAAGTCAATTAAAAATTTTTGATAAATTGAAATCCAAATAATTTTAAACTTAAATCAATTGATATTCAGATAATTTGAAACTTTAATCGATTAATCTATAGATAGATTTATATTTCGTTAATTAAGTTTCGATCAATTGAATTTGCATTTGATTAAAATTTTAATTAATAAATTTGTTTTGTTCAATAAAATTTTTGATAAATTCAAGCTTGTGTCAATTCAATTATTTGTAGACAATTGAAAATGATGAAAATCTGTAATTTTGTTTTTTCTAAATTAATATAAACTCAAGGAATGTTAAAAAAAAAATTCTTTTTAAACTAATAAATTATTTTTCAACATTCCTGAAATTAAATCAAAGTTTTTACATTATAAATGTAATTAGTTTTTTTTCAATTATTACATCAACAAATTAATTAAATTATGATAAAGGTAAAAGAAATTATTAAAATAGGTGAATAGGTCATAAATTCTGATTCCTTTTTGAGGCAAAAATGAACTTTTTCTGTAAATTTGATCAATTTTTTAAAATTTTCCTGATAAAAATATTTTTTCCTGACACTTTTTTTGAATTGTGGCTACCCTGTTTTTAACATTTGATAATGATTAAAAATTACAGTGATTAAAAAACGATTCCAGTAATAGAAACTAAACATTTTATTATTGTTTTTTAATCTTTATTCAAAGGGAAATTTTTAGTGATTCAAATGCAAAAAATAAAATTATTCACACTTTCACTAAAACAATTTTTAATTTTTTAATTTCTTTGTTAATAAAAATAAAATAAAATTTTTTTCAACTTACTTTTAACTTGTTTTTTAATTGGTTTAGTTGGATCCAACCAATGTTGTATATTATTGCTGTCAGTATATTGTAGACCAAAATAATCTTTTTCTATTAAATCTAAACTATAAAAAACTTGCTCGTATAAATCACTGGCCAATGCTTTTTTCTAAAACACAATTTTTTTTTTTTTTAATTTGAATTAGAGTATAAAACTAAATGATTATTTAAACAATAAACGAAATGAATAGAATTTACATTCCTAAAACAACTTGTATTTAGACAAAGAATGCATTTAAAATAAACGATAAGCAAAAAAAAAAAAGTAGGCCAGAATCATAACAATTGCACTCTATAATTTTCAATGCTTTGTTAACAGGAATAATTATAATAAATAATGTACATACCGACAACTCAATAGGTAAATCAGTTCCATCTAACAGTACAACTCTACATTGTACTATATTCTTATTGCTTAACAATCGTTGATTTTTAATCTGGGAAGATGTATTTTGTCCACCGACGCCTCGACCTCTACGTCTTGATAAAAATCTCAACATTTTCTAGGCTTATAGCACACTATTGTATTAATTTAATAAAAACACTTTCTTCATATTTAAAATATCAACTATGGATGTATCTTATTAGAAAATAATAATAACTCTTCATGATTTTTAGAAACAAGCTTTTTTACATCCCAAAGTTTTGTTACATAGTAAAATTTGTTTGTAATTGATTTTTCTTTATCAATAATAACACCGCATTTTTCAATAATCACAATAATAACGCACAATGTTTCAAATAAAGTTTCTACATTTGAAATATTTAATTATACAGCAACACAAATTAAAAACAAATTTATTGTTGTAATCTTTTAATCGCAACTAAACAATGTTAAAATTTATTGCAAGTTCATCAATCAATGGAAAATTTCTGAAGTTGCACATTTGCGACATCTTTAGGGAAGTTTTTGATTTAAAATATTCCAAGTCAAACGTTCGAAATGTGTCAGTAACATAGTTGTATTATGGTACGTTCACACCTTGGCTGTATTTTTAAACAGTAATTAGAGAAAAAAATTATATAAAGTAAAAGAAGTAATATTGAATTTTTGAGTCTGAATGTAGAAAATTCAATAATATTTGTGCATTTTCTTTAAAAAATTTTGTCTGGACCGAGGTGTGAATGATTCCATAAACCAACAGACAAAGTTATGTACAGTTGGTAACAATGAGTTTTGACAATATAGTTGGCGATCGTGATTGTTGACAACGATTTAAGTTATCCAAAGTTATAAAGAATTCTTTACAAATTACAAGTGACAAATGCAAAGATGCAAATAAATAAAGATGATTTCGTTTATCTTTTAGGCGAAAAATTGAAAACAATAAAAAATCAAATTGGAGAAAAAAATGAAAAGAAAATTTTCGAAATAGATGAGAAAATTGGCTTCAAGGTCAATAAAACCGACAATGAGGAGGTAATAACTACTGAAATGATCAATTTTCTGAAGAATATTTCAGAAACTATGATTCATTGTAAAGATTTAATTATGACAACAATGACAACTATTCAAAAAATTGCTCTTCAAATTCAAAGTTCAAAATTGACAAGCACTGATCCTCCACTTGTTGAAATTAGTTCGCCGCATAAGAAAATTCGAAGGATTCCTAATCTTATTTCCATTGAGGATCAATTGAAAGAACCTACTCCTGTTGCTGGTAATTATTATTATTTTTTTTATTTTTATTCAATTTTTATAATTTATGCATACATGTGAAAAATGGTGAATATTATTTTAAAGTGAAAAAAAAAATTTTTTTAACTTAGTTACAGACAGCGAGTCATTTTTGAAAATCGAAAATGTTGTGAGTTTGTCTAATATTTCAGAAGATGAAAAAAATGAAGTAAGTATTTTTATCTTTAATCAATTTTGATGCTAAGTCACTCATTTTAAACTTAATTAATATCTAGTAAGTCAAATAACTTTTTTTTGTGTATCTGGATATATTTCGTAAATTTTTTTTCTTTTTTTTTAATACGAATTGTCAGTGCATTTCTTGAAAACCAGATAAACGACGTGAATTTAATTTGTATACTTTGAAATAAAACCTTAATTTTTTTTCCCTTAAATTTGTAATTTTTAAAAAATTTTGATTTTTAAAGAATATATAAATTTTATTAAAAATAAAACTTTTGATGAAACATGTTAAATTTTTAATCACTTGAAGTTTAATTAATTGCAAAAATCTAAATTGTAAAATCTTTGAAAATTCAATTACTTTTAAAAAATATTATCTTAGTAATTATTTGATAAATTATTTTTAATTCTGTAAAATTTAATTATTTTCTAAAAATTAATAAAATCTTTTGAAATTCTATTACTTCTAAAAATTTCAACATTAACTCTTCCAAAATTATTATTTAAAACTCTCTAAAACTTGATTAAGTATTGCCTGAAATTTTTTTTACCATCAAAACTCTAAAAACTATGAAAAACTTTTAATTCAAATAAATTGCTTAAATCAGATTTGAAAAAAATTATAAAAATGCAACTTTAAGAATTTTTTTTAGAAATTTGTTTTACTTATTTAAATATAATTTTGAAAATTTGTCTTACAATTAGTTTGATTTCGAAATATTCGAAATAAATTTTTTTGATAATATTTTTATAGAATTATTCTTATTACAGAATTAATTAAATGAATTTAATATCTATTAATATTAGTTGTTTAAAGTAAAATATTTATTAACCAATTAAATTTTGTTAAAAAAAAAAAAAAAAAAAAATTTTTCGACTTTTTTTTGGAATATAAATCAACTAAAACGATATATATGTATATAGTTTTTAAATTAAAATTTGACCAAGAATATTTGAAAACAGCTTTTAGAACTAATAAATATCTAATAATAAATTAATTTTAACAAAATCGAATTCTTAAAAATTGCATTTTATATTAGATATTACTATAAGTAAAAGTGTTAATTTTACAAAAAGAATGAAATAATTTCTGTTAACTTTTTTTTTAAATGTCGAATTTCGGAATAAATATTTATTTTGTGAATTAAATTGTATTTTATAATAATGGAATTTGCATAAACAAACATTACATCAATTTAAAAAACAAATTAAATTCAAAATTATAATTTATTTTTCAAAATAATAATATAAAAATGAATTTATTTTATTCTATAGTATTTTAAAAAACGTCGGTGAAGTTCACAACGTTTATAATCAACGATTGAGAAAAAAAATGTAATTTTATGCAAATATATATATATATGGGCGTTTTCACGTGAGATTTCCGTCGACCCTTTAAATTCGGCCAAATATATTTTTTTCTTGTTCTGTAGTAAAAAAAAAAAAGTGTAATACTTATTTTTTTATTTTTTTTTCTGTAAAATTTTCGAGTTATGAATTGTCAAAATTTCAGTTTTTTCAATAGCTGATAACTCGAAAAAAAATGTATTTTTTCAATTTTTGCTAAGAGAAGAAAAGATTCAGTTTTTCTTTTACTTTTCCAAAAAAAATTTTTTTTTCAAATTTTTTATAAACAAATTAAGTTTTTTTTTTAATATGGATATAATTTTTTTTAATTTCTTTTTTTTTAAACATACCTGGAAATACTAAGAAGATTTTGCAAAAAAATTTAGAGTAAGCCGATAAGTTTTATAGGTTTAAATAAACATTTAAACACCGCGCGCAGCATTTTGCGCATTTTTGAAAATTAAAAAAAATTGTAAAATTGCTAAAAATTATTTTTTTTTCATTTTTTATAGTGAAATATTATTTTAGGTTCCAAAAAAAATTATTTTTTTTTCATTTTTTTTTTTTTTGAACCTGAAATCATATTTCACTATGAAAATTAAAAAAAAAATAATTTTTAACAATTAAAAATTTTTTTTTAATTTTCAAAAATGCGCAAAATACTGCGCGCGGTGTTTAAATGTTTATTTAAACCTATAAAACTTATCAGCCCACTCTAAATTTTTTTGCAAAATCTTCTTAATATTTTCAGGTATGTTTAAAAAAATTTTTTTTTTAAAATCATATCCAAATTTAAAAAAACTTAATTTGTTTATAAAAAATTCTTATTTTTTTAATGAAAAATTTGAAAACAAAATTTTTTTTGTTATTATTATTGAAAAGTAAAAGAAAAACTAAAACTTTTCTTCTCTTAGCAAAAATTGAAAAAATTCTTTTTTTTCGAATTAACAGCCATTGAAAAAACTGAAATTTTAAAAATTCATAACTCGAAAATTTTTCAGAAAAAAAAATAAAAAAATACATATCTCTTTTTTTTACTACAGAACAAGAAAAAAATATATTTGGCCGAATTTAAAGGGTCGACGGAAATCTCACGTGAAATCGCTTATATGTATATATATTTTTTTAATATTTGATAAAAAAAAATTGTTATTTTTTTTGTAAACATTTTTTATGATATAATAATGTAGGACTTTTGAAAAGGACCTTGCACTAAATAGACAGAAAATGGCTTACGGTTAAATTTGGCTATATTTTGAGAATTTTTAGTTGAAAGTGTCCTGATTGAAAAAAAAATTGTCCCCAGATCACTGAATTAATTTTTTTAATAATAGTTTTTTTTATAATATTCGATGAAACGACTTTCGAACAAGACCACTTTGATACGCAAGTTCATTAGGCGAAGCGTTGTTTCGACATTTTTTTTTAGCTAAACTATTCAGTTGACATCGAGACAATTTTTTTTTCAATCAGGACACTTTCAACTAAAAATTCTCAAAATATAGCCAAATTTAACCGTAAGCCATTTTCTGTGTATTTAGTGCGGGGTTCTTTTCATATTTAAATTTATTTAACTTTTGTATATATATACTAGTAAAATTTACAATTTTTTAATGAACACACTCTTGATTAGCTTTACAGATTTCCTTCAAATTTCGCCATGCAAAATCAAATTCAAACGAAAATTGAAATAAAACGTAAGTTCGATTCTAAATTTGTGTCTGAAGACAAGATAAATCCAAATTCATTGGATAAAAAAAATTCAAATATTTCTGACGTCGTAAAAACGTGTTTCTCGCCTAATGAAATTAATCTTCTGCCTCTTCAATCAATTTTTCAACAAGGAATTCAATGTGCATTGTGTCCCTTCACCACAATATTTCGTTCGAATATCTTAAGACACTTACAACTGCACATTAAAAATGATGATACTATCTCAGAATCTGGACCAATTCATTCTGATGAGTCGGACATGGAAAATTTCACAAATAATTCTTATCAAAATGAACTTATAAGAATCAAATCAAATAGCTTATCTCTTATTCAAACCAATAAAGAGACATTGTCAAAATACAATCACAAAAATAAGCGATATATTTGTGGTATTTCCAAGTGTTCATATGTAACCGTCAACGAAGATATGTTACTTTGTCATTTGAGAGCTTTACACTCGAATGAAACAATATTCAAAAATATTATTCATTGTAAAGAACAAGAAAATAATTCAATCGAAAAAATGGAAATTTCTGATTCGAAACTCTATAAATGCTCCTATTGTAATTATTTCCATTATCAACGACATATACTAGATCATCATCTTGAGAATAAACATGCGGACAAAAAACCATTTGTACAAATTGTTCGAGAATTTATTGAATCTAACAAAAACAAAACTCCATTGTCTCCTCACAAAGATAATAACAAAAACACATCAAATCAAAATAAAAATCAATGGAAATGCAATAGCTGTGATTATCATTGTTATACAAAATGGGAAATGCAAATACATGCCTCGAATTATCACGATGAGAAAAAACAATTTAAATGTACAGCTTGCTCATATAGAACACATGACAAAATTCGATTAGAACAGCATTTAATTACAAAACATGTGAATGCTGATTTTCAAATGGTTTATCAAAAAATTAATGATTCAAAGAAGAAAGTTTTTAATTCAATGGAACGAGAAAAAAATTTTGTTGATGAATCATTATTTAATAAAACACCACTTTGGCAAAAAGATAAAACAGTGATGGTTAAACATATTTGGGATATTCTTCATGAAGAGGATTCAGCTTCTAAGATTTCTAGTCCTCGTTCTTTAATTCCCGAAAAATCAGTAAAAAGAAAAAATGTCTTTGACATTCCGAGCAAACAAGCAAAAATTAGGTGCATTCATTAAATAGATTAGACGATAAGTCAAGTGGGAAAGTAAAATTTAATAATAATCATATTTAATATTCTTGATTGAAGTTGTTTATTATAAACATTTCGTAAGGAAGTTCTCGGATTCTTTTTTTATTTAAATTTATATTTTTAGTTTTTTTAGTAGGCAAAATTATATTATTATTATTCAGATCTATTGTAAAAATGTACGATTTCTTTTACGAAAGTTTAGTAGAGAAAATAGTACATAAAATATTACAATAGCACAAATTTAAGTGTAATAATTATTTTTTTTTTTTTGTTAGGTATATATTTTTTTTAAATTAACAATTTATAATTATTATATGTTATTATTACTCTTGTTTCTTCTCTATTTATAATTTGTATTTTTTTTTAAATTTATGATTGTATACTCCGAGAGTATTTAATAAAAAAAAAATTACAATTTTTCAAAAACTGTTAAATCTATCTAAATATTTTTTGTATTTGAAAATATTAAAAAATTGCGAAAAGTCTTTCTGAAAAACTATCTTACATTTTTGTGTTTATTTTTAATAAAAAATTAACTAATTTTGAATAATGATAATGAAAAATATAAAATCTTGATGAAATTATGATTTTATATTTTTATTATTATCATTATTATTTATATTAAGGCCATGTGGGCAAAGAACGTTTTTTTTAAAGTTTTAAACTTTCTCTGAAATAAAAAATGATTTCGGGTTAAAATTTTAAAGAAATGATTTAGGAGGATGCAAGGCATATGCGGCTGTTCTACTCATTTGCTATAATTTAACGCAAAAATATGTTTTTTCAGGAGAACAGCGATGTGCATTGTACCCAAATCTATCAATCCTAAAAATTTTACGTCAAAATATTTTTTCATTTTAGAGAAAGTTTGGTTTTCGCAAAACACATTTTCCCATACTAAATCACGTGGGAGTTTCCCACATGCCGTTAAAAAGTTTTCAAATAATTGTATTTTTGTCACAAAAAAATTCAGAAAAAATTCAATTTTTCTTAGACAGACAACTTTATTGCAAATTCTAGCACAAAATATAACTAAAAGTGTAGAAAAAAATTGACACATAAATTTTATTTGACATAGTAGTCACTTGTTATAAATTTCATTTGACATAATTCTCATTTGACACAAAATTCATATTATATTTAAAATAAACAAAAGGCAAGGAATCAACGAAAGAAAGAAATAAGTAATTCTTTTTATTTTCATTAAATTTATAAATATTATTTTTATGTTTATTAACTTGAATAATAAATAAAGTTAAAAAGATATTATATAAATAAATAATAGTATAATAATAAAATAATAACGGGGATAATTTGAGAGAAAATTCTTGGAAACAAACAATTTAAAATTTTATGAAATTTACTCTGCACTTTTTCGGAAAATTTACTCCTATAATTTTCTGGAAGTTAACCGAGGAAGTTAACAGGAAGTTACCAAGGGAAACAACCGAAGTTAAGACATTATTATTAGGTTCAGGGAAGTACACAGGAAGTTACCCGTGGAAATTTCCGAACTTACCTCAAATAGTTTTTTGGAAACTTCCTGGAAAGAATGGTGCTATGTGGATAATTTTTTTTTTAAATTCAATTTTACATTTTCTCTTAAAAAATTCCAAAATTATATTATTATTCATTCGGACTTTTATTATTTAACATTATCAGTTTTTCCGGATTTGTTTTTTTTTTTTTTAATTTATTTCTGCATTTATATCGACGAAAAATAAAAATAACTTTAAATGAAACAGAAATGGAATTTCTCAATTTAGCTAAAAAACTTTTTTTTATCTATAAAATGATAAAAATTTCTTGAAACATAATATTAAAAAATTAAATAACATAAAAGAAAAAAATTTGAAAATTAGTTTCATTAATTATTTAATAAAAATTTCAAGCATTAATTTATAGAAAAAATTTAAAAAAAAATAAAAAAAAAGATTATGGGAGCTTTTAACTGATCAAGAATCTTTTCTATGACTAATATTCATGAAATATTGTTTATAAATCAAACATATAAAATATTTTAAGTGTTAAAATAATTTTTAAAATAACACCTAATAAATATTTTTCAATACATATAATCAAATGAACTAATTTATTAATATATATATATAAATATATATATATATATACATATGTTGTTCTAGAAATACTTGAAATTTCAATAGAATATTACCCTTATTAAAAAAATTGTAATTTATTTTTATAATTATATAATTATTTATAAATCTTTCTAATGCATGGAAAGTGTGAAAATATTTTGATTTGATATTTCTAATTTGAAAAATAATGCGTATGAGTGAAGAGTGAGACCGCGTGGTTGAGGTGAAAGAAATGTGACCTTGAAGAGAAAGCAACGTGTCGTGCTTTAATCTCCCCGCATTCGCTTAAAGAATTTTGTGTTGATAATAATCAAACCGATTCTTATATTATTTCTTTTATTTTTTTTTTGCTTTTATTATATTATTTTTATTCATTATTTTTTTTTTTAGTTTGGTTTTTTGTGCACTGTGTTTGTGTTAGTTGTTTGTGCTTTAGTCACTGACTATTGTCAGTGACCGAAGATGTCGAAAAAGAAAATTTTAAAAGCCGCTGAAAAAATTATTATCGAGAAATATACTTCATTGGAGGAAGTGGTTATCACTTCAGAACTTTATTCGCAGGTATTGTTTATCATTTATTTAATAGGTATTGATTAAATATTTAATATTTTCAATTTTCCCTCGATTTCTTTTTTTTATATTTTTTACTTTTATATCAAAGAAAAACTATATAAATTTAAAAAAAAAAATGAATTCGCGTATGTTAGTGTTGATGTAAATAAATAAATCAAGTTTTTTAGTTTTTATAATAAATTTATTTCCATAAATCGATAATAAAATTTTGAATAATAAGAATAATAAATTAAAAATTATTTTCAAACTTAAGTAAAATAAAAAAAAAATAATACACAAATAAATTATGATCATTAATTAGTATTAAAAAAATTTATGTATAAAATATTTTATAAAATTATAAATATTTTCATTAGATTTAACCTGATGAAGATGATGACGAACCAAGTCATCGAAACGTCGTTTCTTGTTTTGTGACAATAAACAATATTAATAACATACAATTTTTATGTTATTTTATTCCTTCCAAGGATCGAATTTTTCTCAACTTTTTATTAAACATTCCGGAAGGGAAAATCCTTACTCTACAAAATTTATGTGTTATAATTATTTTTGAAATATATCCTAATAAGTTTTTTTCAGTCTTAATTAACTAAACTAATTTATTAATATATATGGGTCATTCTCATAAAAAGGACAAATGACAAAAAGTCAACAGGATTTAACCCCCTGACTGTCGATGGCCCATATTATGTCCAAAAAAAGTTGTGCCACCTTTGTTATTTTGGACATATATGTCCACATTAGAAAAAAATTACTAAACATAATTAGAATTTAGTGTCAATGTGTATACTAAGGTACCGTTTTGGGCCCACAAACGATTTTTCTACTAGACTGCGAAGGGGTTAATTAGATTTCATAAATAAGAAATTGAAAATTTCAAATAATTGAATATCATCATTTTTATATAGTGTAAAAACTCCCCTCCGTTACCGTTCGCGAAGTAAGTTTTATTTAAAGAAGAATTATTGCATTCATACTGCAATATGAAAACATCTTTTGTCTAGTAACATTACTAATTACATTTTTTGTAATCGATTTATAAAGCGTAAAACAGAATATTTGTAAAATATTTTTTCCTAAAATTAAATCAGTTTTGTTCGCGAAGTAAACTCCCCTCCGTGACTATAGTCACAAATATAATGAATACACTGGAGTCTCCCAAGAGAGGACTTCTGAAGAGAGGACTAAGTAGTGACGCGGCGCGGTAAGGAGTGAGGGGGGAAGAGATGGGCGGGATCAGAAAGAGGAACGTGAACTCAGGAGCGTTTGTTTTTAGTGTACCTTTCTCGCGTAGTGTTTTACAAACGTAACAGAATGTATTCTGTTAAAAAAACACATCTCTGTGATACGATATACGGCCCTGGAGTGTTTACAATTTTCGGCGTCAAGGACGAATTCCGTAGAGAGGTCCAAGACTCTTTCTGTCCTCTCTTCGGAGACTCTAGTGTATATGAAAATAAACATGGGTAAGTCCACGTCAGAAATATCAGAATCTGCAAGTGGTTCTTCGATTTTAATGATACTTGGTAAAATTATAGCTTTATATAAGAGCAATGTGTAAGTAAAAGGAATTTTTAAAATATCTAAAATTGTAGGAGTTATATTACTTTTAATTTTGATACTGCATTTTTTTCTTTCCTTTATATCTCGGTCAATTTTCAACCGATTTTGATGAATCAAAAACGATTTTTTTCAGAAAATTACGTATTTTCAGAAAATTACGTATTTTCAGAAAATTTTAAAATAAAAATAAAATTTTGTTATTTAAATAGAAAAAAGTAAAAAAAAAAATTTCTTTTAGATTTTTTTTTCAATTTCGACCTCTTTTTTTAATTTTTAATTTTTTAATAATATTCCTTTTTATTTTATCTTTAATTTAAAAAAAAAATTCATCCTGGAGACTTTTTTAGATCTCGTGATATTGTTCTTTAAATATCCGCATCTCAAGAAAACTAGGATCCAGACTTGTGTTTCTACTTTAATTTGTTTTATAATATTATTGTTAAAAACTAGAAAATTTCGCGTAATAATGTTTTTATTTTTAAATTACTTGACTAAAACAAGTGAAAATTCAAGCAAATCAATATTTTATTAGTAGATTTGAAGCAAAGTTTTTATTTTTTGTAATATTTATAATTTAAAATAAATTGTAATGAAACCTTAACAATGCAACCTGAAATTGTAGCTGAAGTTTTTAGCGCTTTCTTTTAGAGGATTCTAAAACAAATAGTTATTCATAACCATACAAAAATTCAACAAACAAATGAAAGTAATGATAGAAGCAAGTCCTGCGGTTTTCAAATTGATGAAGACTTATAATACTTAAAGAACGATATCACGAGATCTAAAAAAATCTCCAGGATGAATTTTTTTTTAAATTAAAGATAAAATAAAAAGGAATATTATTAAAAAATTAAAAATTAAAAAAAGAGGTCGAAATTGAAAAAAAATCTAAAAGAAATTTTTTTTTTTACTTTTTTCTATTTAAATAACAAAATTTTATTTTTATTTTAAAATTTTCTGAAAATACGTAATTTTCTGAAAAAAATCGTTTTTGATTCATCAAAATCGGTTGAAAATTGACCCAGATATAAAGGAAAGAAAAAAATGCAGTATCAAAATTAAAAGTAATATAACTCCTACAATTTTAGATATTTTAAAAATTCCTTTTACTTACACATTGCTCTTATATAAAGCTATAATTTTACCAAGTATCATTAAAATCGAAGAACCACTTGCAGATTCTGATATTTCTGACGTGGACTTACCCACATGATAATAGAGAAATGAAGAATTTAAAAGTGTTTATAGTGACGATATTGTTTTGGTCAGCACACAACACCATGAAAGAATTGAAAACAATAAGTGTCAGAAAGATTTTCAGTTTCGCAGTGTTATCGCCGACACAAAAATTAATAATATTACTACTATTACTTTTTTTTATAAAATTTACTATTTTTATATTAGAATCTATAAATTTTGGCTAAGAAAACTCCCCTCCGTGACCGCTAGTCACATCCATCGGTTATTTACAGAAAAGCCCCCCCCCCATGTAGAAAATGCCCCTTTTTGGTACCTCGAATTTTGAAACTTTCTTTATGCCAAATGGTAACATATGATGACCCAATAATCCCTGCAAAATTTCAAGATGAGCATATGCGCCTTATCGGAAATACAGGGGGTCATGTCAGAAAAAGAACATGCAATATTGTCGAATAATAATGTTCAAAAAAATTATTCCTTCAACATTTTCGTCTGCTGATTATGAATTTGAAGTCCGTTTTCAAAAATTCAAAATGGCGAATCCAATATGGCGGTCGACAATTTTAAAAATTCATCCAATTTACTTGAAAATGGTTAATCGGGGGGTTTTGGGGTCGTTGATTACGAATCTAAAGTCCGTTTTTAAAATTTTAAAATGGCGGACGACAATTTTAAACAAGGAGGGGTGGACATCGCAGAAAATATATTAAGGCCATGTGAGACAAAGACACTTTTTGATAGTTCCAAGTATTCTCGGAAATGAGAAGAAATTTCTGGTTGAAATTTTGAGGAATGATAAAAAAGGGTTGAAGGAATTGGGCCGTTCTACTTATTTACTGTAATTGAATGCGAAATAATTTAAAAAAGTAATTAATAGTGGAATTAATAGGTTTTTGTTATTTCTTTGAGCGGCCACTAACTCGAATTGGCGCTACACGGAAAAAAATTTTCTGGTAATTCTTTAACGTCGATTTAGAGATTTTACATGTTCCTAAATCTGTTAATTCTACAGATATTTTCTGCAAGGATTTAACGCATGCGCGAAAACAATGCAGTGATTCGACTAAGGCTGAGTACGATTGAGTGCGAGAGGTTAAGGCGAATTTAGTGTTTTTATTATTATCATAGTGTCGGCAAGAAAGTTCAATTAAAAAGGAAACGTCTTAAGTATATAAACATTATTATAGAAATAAATTATTAGAAATTTTTTATTTTAAAATTAACTGTAGTGATTAAGTGAGAAACGTCGTTTGTTTCAATTTCTCGACATAAGAAAAAATGGATTTATCATAAGTTTTGAAAACTTGCTCCTCATTTTTTTTGTTAGAAAATTATTGAAGGATGAATTTATTTACATAGAAGTTATACTAATTTATACAATAATGTTCCGCGAATTTAATGTATTCGGAGGAGAATATAACCTATAAGAAATACTCTACCAAATATATATTATCCCCATATAGTATACATAATTTGGTCACTCAACAGTTTTTAAGAACTGTAGCTCAAACTTGTAGAATTAACAGATTTTAATGCCAATGATTCAACATATTTCTCTATTTGGAGAAACATCAGTAGATGGCGCAAGAGTTTCTGTAAATTCTACAGAAAATTTTTTTCTGTGTAGTTCCTGGACCACTAATACATTCACGCAACGTCTGTGTGTACCCCCGCCATGTTGACTTCAACTTTCGTTCAAAAATGGGAATTTTCAAACTTTTATTTTTAATACTTAAACGCAAAATATTGCTTCAAACCGAGAACAGCGCCATTCTGAATGCTATTCTCTATCATATTTTAGAAATTTCAACCAAAAATTCTTTACCATTTTAGAGAAACCTTGGTAATACGATACCATATTTTTTGCATGGAGGTCACGTGGGTATTTCCCACATGGCCTTAATTTATTTCAATTTCGATTTTGCATTTCCTGAAGAAGTTTTTATTAATTCTTAAATTTTTCCTAAATTTTTCTTAAGGCGTAAAATTTTTGAAAACTTTTCTTAAGAAAAAAGAAAAAAATTTTTTAACAAAAACAAAAAATTTAATTTTTTTGAAAAAATAAAAATAATGATTTCATCTATAAATTTAGGTAAAATATGAACTTAATATAGGTTAAAAAATTCGTTTTAACGCAAAGAATACTTTTTAAAATTAACAAAGTGAAATTTTTATAATAAAAAGCTTTTTTATTAAAAAATGTATTTTTGACTTTTTGAAAAAATGGTCCCAAAAAAAAATTGTGTGGATATTTTTGGAAATCCTTGTGTCCGATTTTTGGTATTAGTAAGTAGAATTAGTATGCAAAATTTCAGGGCGATCCGTCAACATTTGTGAGATAATTTGTACACAAGAAGCGGTGCCATACACACACATCCACACAGACATACACCCGGACATTTGTTTTTCATGTCGAAATATAACTATATTAGTTAAAAATTTATTAAAATAATTGATTTTAGGAAGTTCGAAGATTGTCATCACTATAAAGCTTCCTACGAGGAAGCAAAATCCAACCAATTTACTTTAAAATGGTTACTCGGGTTACTTTCAGATTTGTTTCACTGACCTCGAAACCTCCTAATTAAAGATTTTGAAGACAATTAAATAGATTTAAAAGATAGTCGTCCGACATTTTGAATTTTTTTAAAACTGATTCCAGATTCGTAATCAGCTACTCCAAAAACCCCCGACTAACCACACGGAAAAAACAAACTAACTATTTTAACACCAAACTGCTTTATCCTTTATTAGTATATAATTTTGTTTACCTATTAAAGTATGAAATAATGCTTTTTTAGTTTAAAGTAAGTCCATACTAAATAAGTATAATGGTTATACTCTTATAGTAATAGTGAAGTACTCTAAAAGCATAAAATTGATGCCCGCGAAGTACGACATATAGTCTACCTAAAATAGCAAGAGCTTCTTCCTTTTTGGTGGATAAATTCTTGCAACCTGCGTTTTGGCCTATATCGATATATCGATGGTTGGAAAGGGAGGGAGGCGTGGACAAAACGCAGGTTGCAAGAATTTATCCACCAAAAAGGAAGAAACTCTTGCTATTTTATGTAGACTATATGTCGTACTTCGCGAGCATCAATTTTATGCTTTTAAAGTACTTCACTATTGCTATAAGAGTATAACCATTATACTTATTTAGTATGGACTTACTTTAAACTAAAAAAGCATTATTTCATACTTTAATAGGTACCCTGTGGGCAAAAAACCATGTTCGTTCTAAAAACGTTTTAAGGACGTTCTTAGAACGTTTCATGTCCGCCAAATAACCCAACCAAAAATTTCAGTATTATACCAGAGTTGACTACTGGCGCAGTACTGGTTCATTATTGGCTGCCGACACTTGGCAGTCTGTACTGAACCAGTACTGGTATTTTCATTGTATCAGTACTGGTGCAGTACTGGCAAACCAGTACTGAGCCGATATTGAGTCAGTACTGGCTCAAATAGATTTTCTTTTTGATTAATACTACTTTACAAAAAGTTCTAGAGTGAATCTGATGAATCTTTTTGTTTAAATATTTGGTTTATAAAAATTTGTTCACTTTTATTTTTATTTTTGAAAATTAAAAGATATTTTATTTTGCTTTTTTGTGGGTAAAATTATTTAAACTAAAAGTTTCCTGAATCAAATTCCAAAACATGTTGCGATTTTTTTTTTATTGTTTTCAGATATGCAATAAACCAAAAAAATTTTAAAACAATCAAACTAAAAATAAATAAAATTGTTTATTAAAAAATTAATAATTTTTAAAATAAAAATTTTTTAAAATTTTCTTTGTTAAAAATTAAAAAACAATTTTTATATTCTTAAAAAAGTATTTTAAAAATTTATTTTGATGCAAATAATTAAAGTGAATAATAAAATAATTAAATAGCTAATTGTATAATTATATACATTTTAATTATTTTATAAACATTTTTATTTTTACTGAACTGTTTATATATATTATAAAAACTTTGGTTTTATAATAAACATATTTTTATATTTATTTTTTGATTTTTTAAAATAATAATGTGCAATATATATTATACTTAATAAGGAATAAAAATTCTTGGTGTTTTCGATTTTATAAATAATAAAATATTAATTAGTGAGTTGACTAATTTAATTAATATTAAATTTGTGTTGGGTTACTAAAAATTTCACACACTTTTTCCTAAAAAAAAAAGTATTACCTGGAGCAGAGATTTCACTATTGCAGTGAAACTTATCTCTGTTACAGTTAAAGCTTTCTTTTCGTATACAATAAATTACAAAACTCCCAGTACTCAGCCAGTACTGAACCAGTAGTGGTTACCAATACTGGTGCCAACTCTGGCAGCCAATACTGGTAAAATGTTATCATCCTAAAGTTACGCAAACTCTGCCGCCAATACTGGGTGCCAGTACTGCGCCAACACTTGTCAGTACTGCGCCATTAGTAAATTTTTGATTAGGAAGGTTCATACTAATAAATGATAAAGCAGTTTGGTGCTAAAATAGTTAGTTTGTTTTTTCCGTGCATTTTCAAGTAAATTGAATCGAGTAACAAGATTTAAACGAATTCGGTCACTGTATCGGCGACAAAATATTAAACAATAATGTCTATAAAGATCGTAACAACGTATTTTAGAGACTTATTTAAATCCTTCTTTTCACATAGTTATAGCCATAACACTAATTTTGAATTTTTTTTTCTTAATTCAGCATTTGTCCTATTCGAGAGATTTACCCATATGTAAACATGAAATTAAATTTCCAATTACGATTAACATGTAGTGTAATATTTTGCTGACCCCACCCCCCCCTTTCCCTAAAACATCACATACTTTTTAGATGGCCTCAATTATTGAAGATTTTGCGTCTATTTATATGTTGCTATGATTCCTTCTAAAAAGTCTGCTTACGTTCATAACATTCACTATTTGGTTTGAATCTTGAATATTTAAGATATCAAAGGAGGCTAAAGTACAGTCAACGGCTGATATGCAGAGGGTTGTTCGGTACGCTGTAGAATGCAAAGAGGAATTCAGGCAAAATTTGACTTTGCTATTTCAAACGAAAAAAAAAGAACGTTCTATTGCAAATGAAGATGGAGCTACCAGTAAGACGGACTCAGGAAATGTAAAGAAGGACATCAAGAATAATACAGGTAAGATGGAAATTGCTTATTTCATTCCTGTGCACTTTGGTTGAATGACCAGAAAGGACATAAATTTAGGGATGACAAACATGATATTATTCGACAAAATACACCTAAAAGTGTAGAAAAAAATTGACATCCCGATCCGAGTAGAGGAAGACACATATTTTGACCTTAAAGTCGTTTTTCGAAAAAAAAAATTTTCAAAAAAATTCAATTTTTCTTAGGCAGACTATTTTATTGCAATTTCTTTCACAAAATACACCTAAAAGTGTAGAAAAAAATTAACAGCCCGATCCGAGTAGAGGAACACCAATTTTATGACCATTAAAGCGATTTTCATCAAAAAATAATTTTCAAAAAAATTCAATTTTTCTTAGGCAGACTATTTTATTGCAATTTCTTGTACAAAATACACCTAAAAGTGTAGAAAAAAATTGACAGCCCGATCCGAGTAGAGGAACACCAATTTTATGACCATTAAAGCGATTTTCGTCAAAAAAAAATTTTCAAAAAAATTCAATTTTTCTTAGGCAGACTATTTTATTGCAATTTCTTGCACAAAATACACCTAAAAGTGTAGAAAAAAATTGATAGTTCGATCCGAGTAGAGTAACACCAATTTTATGACCATTAAAGCGATTTTCGTCAAAAAAAAATTTAAAAAAAAATTCAATTTTTCTTAGGCAGACTATTTTATTGCAATTTCTTGCTCAAAATACACCTAAAAGTGTAGAAAAAAATTGACAGCCCGATCCGAGTAGAGGAACACCAATTTTATGACCATTAAAGCGATTTTCGTCAAAAAAAATTTTCAAAAAAATTCAATTTTTCTTAGGCAGACTATTTTATTGCAATTTCTTGCACAAAATACACCTAAAAGTGTAGAAAAAAATTGACAGCCCGATCCGAGTAGAGGAACACCAATTTTATGACCATTAAAGCGATTTTCGTCAAAAAAAAATTTTCAAAAAAATTCAATTTTTCTTAGGCAGACTATTTTATTGCAATTTCTTGCACAAAATACACCTAAAAGTGTAGAAAAAAATTGACAGTTCGATCCGAGTAGAGTAACACCAATTTTATGACCATTAAAGCGATTTTCGTCCAAAAAAATTTTCAAAAAAATTCAATTTTTCTTAGGCAGACTATTTTATTGCAATTTCTTGCACAAAATACACCTAAAAGTGTAGAAAAAATTGACAGCCCGATCCGAGTAGAGGAACACCAATTTTATGACCATTAAAGCGATTTTCGTCAAAAAAAAATTTATAAAAAAATTCAATTTTTCTTAGGCAGACTATTTTATTGCAATTTCTTGCACAAAATACACCTAAAAGTGTAGAAAAAAATTGATAGTTCGATCCGAGTAGAGTAACACCAATTTTATGACCATTAAAGCGATTTTCGTCAAAAAAAAATTTTCAAAAAAATTCAATTTTTCTTAGGCAGACTATTTTATTGCAATTTCTTGCACAAAATACACCTAAAAGTGTAGAAAAAAATTGACAGCCCGATCCGAGTAGAGGAACACCAATTTTATGACCATTAAAGCGATTTTCGTCAAAAAAAAATTTTCAAAAAAATTCAATTTTTCTTAGGCAGACTATTTTATTGCAATTTCTTGCACAAAATACACCTAAAAGTGTAGAAAAAAAATGACAGCCCAATCCGAGTAGAGGAACACCAATTTTATGACCATTAAAGCGATTTTCGTCAAAAAAAAATTTTCAAAAAAATTCAATTTTTCTTAGGCAGACTATTTTACTGCAATTTCTTGCACAAAATACACCTAAAAGTGTAGAAAAAAATTGACAGCCCGATCCGAGTAGAGGAACACCAATTTTATGACCATTAAAGCGATTTTCGTCAAAAAAAAATTTTCAAAAAAATTTAATTTTTCTTAGGCAGACTATTTTATTGCAATTTCTTGCACAAAATACACCTAAAAGTGTAGAAAAAAATTGACAGCCCGATCCGAGTAGAGGAACACCAATTTTATGACCATTAAAGCGATTTTCGTCAAAAAAAAATTTTTTAAAAAATTCAATTTTTCTTAGGCAGACTATTTTATTGCAATTTCTTGCTCAAAATACACCTAAAAGTGTAGAAAAAAATTGACAGCCCGATCCGAGTAGAGGAACACCAATTTTATGACCATTAAAGCGATTTTCGTCAAAAAAAAATTTTCAAAAAAATTCAATTTTTCTTAGGCAGACTATTTTATTGCAATTTCTTGCACAAAATACACCTAAAAGTGTAGAAAAAAAATGACAGCCCAATCCGAGTAGAGGAACACCAATTTTATGACCATTAAAGCGATTTTCGTCAAAAAAAAATTTTCAAAAAAATTCAATTTTTCTTAGGCAGACTATTTTACTGCAATTTCTTGCACAAAATACACCTAAAAGTGTAGAAAAAAATTGACAGCCCGATCCGAGTAGAGGAACACCAATTTTATGACCATTAAAGCGATTTTCGTCAAAAAAAAATTTTCAAAAAAATTTAATTTTTCTTAGGCAGACTATTTTATTGCAATTTCTTGCACAAAATACACCTAAAAGTGTAGAAAAAAATTGACAGCCCGATCCGAGTAGAGGAACACCAATTTTATGACCATTAAAGCGATTTTCGTCAAAAAAAAATTTTCAAAAAAATTCAATTTTTCTTAGGCAGACTATTTTATTGCAATTTCTTGCACAAAATACACCTAAAAGTGTAGAAAAAAATTGACAGTTCGATCCGAGTAGAGTAACACCAATTTTATGACCATTAAAGCGATTTTCGTCAAAAAAAAATTTTCAAAAAAATTCAATTTTTCTTAGGCAGACTATTTTATTGCAATTTCTTGTACAAAATACACCTAAAAGTGTAGAAAAAAATTGACAGCCCGATCTGAGTAGAGGAACACCAATTTTATGACCATTAAAGCGATTTTCGTCAAAAAAAAATTTTCAAAAAAATTCAATTTTTCTTAGGCAGACTATTTTATTGCAATTTCTTGCACAAAATACACCTAAAAGTGTAGAAAAAAATTGACAGCCCGATCCGAGTAGAGGAACACCAATTTTATGACCATTAAAGCGATTTTCGTCAAAAAAAAATTTTCAAAAAAATTCAATTTTTCTTAGGCAGACTATTTTATTGCAATTTCTTGCACAAAATACACCTAAAAGTGTAGAAAAAAATTGACAGCCCGATCCGAGTAGAGGAACACCAATTTTATGACCATTAAAGCGATTTTCGTCAAAAAAAAATTTTCAAAAAAATTCAATTTTTCTTAGGCAGACTATTTTATTGCAATTTCTTGCACAAAATACACCTAAAAGTGTAGAAAAAATTGACAGCCCGATCCGAGTAGAGGAACACCAATTTTATGACCATTAAAGCGATTTTCGTCAAAAAAAAATTTATAAAAAAATTCAATTTTTCTTAGGCAGACTATTTTATTGCAATTTCTTGCACAAAATACACCTAAAAGTGTAGAAAAAAATTGATAGTTCGATCCGAGTAGAGTAACACCAATTTTATGACCATTAAAGCGATTTTCGTCAAAAAAAAATTTTCAAAAAAATTCAATTTTTCTTAGGCAGACTATTTTATTGCAATTTCTTGCACAAAATACACCTAAAAGTGTAGAAAAAAATTGACAGCCCGATCCGAGTAGAGGAACACCAATTTTATGACCATTAAAGCGATTTTCGTCAAAAAAAAATTTTCAAAGAAATTCAATTTTTCTTAGGCAGACTATTTTATTGCAATTTCTTGCACAAAATACACCTAAAAGTGTAGAAAAAAAATGACAGCCCAATCCGAGTAGAGGAACACCAATTTTATGACCATTAAAGCGATTTTCGTCAAAAAAAAATTTTCAAAAAAATTCAATTTTTCTTAGGCAGACTATTTTACTGCAATTTCTTGCACAAAATACACCTAAAAGTGTAGAAAAAAATTGACAGCCCGATCCGAGTAGAGGAACACCAATTTTATGACCATTAAAGCGATTTTCGTCAAAAAAAAATTTTCAAAAAAATTTAATTTTTCTTAGGCAGACTATTTTATTGCAATTTCTTGCACAAAATACACCTAAAAGTGTAGAAAAAAATTGACAGCCCGATCCGAGTAGAGGAACACCAATTTTATGACCATTAAAGCGATTTTCGTCAAAAAAAAATTTTTTAAAAAATTCAATTTTTCTTAGGCAGACTATTTTATTGCAATTTCTTGCTCAAAATACACCTAAAAGTGTAGAAAAAAATTGACAGCCCGATCCGAGTAGAGGAACACCAATTTTATGACCATTAAAGCGATTTTCGTCAAAAAAAAATTTTCAAAAAAATTCAATTTTTCTTAGGCAGACTATTTTATTGCAATTTCTTGCACAAAATACACCTAAAAGTGTAGAAAAAAATTGACAGCCCGATCCGAGTAGAGCAACACCAATTTTATGACCATTAAAGCGATTTTCGTCAAAAAAAAATTTTCAAAAAAATTCAATTTTTCTTAGGCAGACTATTTTATTGCAATTTCTTGCATAAAATACACCTAAAAGTGTAGAAAAAAATTGACAGTTCGATCCGAGTAGAGTAACACCAATTTTATGACCATTAAAGCGATTTTCGTCAAAAAAAAATTTTCAAAAAAATTCAATTTTTCTTAGGCAGACTATTTTATTCCAATTTCTTGTACAAAATACACCTAAAAGTGTAGAAAAAAATTGACAGCCCGATCCGAGTAGAGGAACACCAATTTTATGACCATTAAAGCGATTTTCGTCAAAAAAAAATTTAAAAAAAAATTCAATTTTTCTTAGGCAGACTATTTTATTGCAATTTCTTGCACAAAATACACCTAAAAGTGTAGAAAAAAATTGACAGCCCGATCCGAGTAGAGGAACACCAATTTTATGACCATTAAAGCGATTTTCGTCAAAAAAAAATTTTCAAAAAAATTCAATTTTCTTAGGCAGACTATTTTATTGCAATTTCTTGCACAAAATACACCTAAAA